CCGGGCACGAACATGCGCTTGCCGGACATACGCGTGAATTTGTCGAGCTAAATATGAATCTACCGGGCTAATCCTAGGCTTACGGTCTCTGAACGTCTAAAAACAAAGAAAAATCATGCATCACAACAGAAAAACAAAGGAGACAAGTCGCTTACTTGGAATCAAGAAGTAAATTTGACGACAGAGGAAAGGAATCGGCGACGGAGATCGCGGCGGTGCTATGAGAATCTAGGAAGAACAACAGCAGCAGAAACAGAGCGAATAGGAGAAGCGCGAAGAGTAGAAACACGTTCTGGGGCCCAAGGACCCTATTTATAGTGATGACGTGGAATACCAAACGTCACCTCGGGCAACCACAGGTTCCCATCCTCGACGCGCAACTTCCCTAGGCAATGATGGCCCTATCCTCCATAGGGTGGCGGCGCAGTTCCCAAAGGGGGCCTCGCGTGCTCGACAGATGCAGCCTGCTGGGAAATCCCTCGGGCATTTCTCGCGGGGAACCTGTCCACTAGCAGGATACGGGGAATCCCCCGAGTACCACACGAGGGGCTGCATCTCTTGTCCGGATACGGGGCCCCGCAACGGAAGCGACCTAAGATCAAGTCACGGCTCCTAACTCAAGGAACCACGACTTGGGGGGGCTCCTGTTCTGGACTGGGTCGGGCTGGCCCAAGCGCAACGATCAGGCCCAATCCAAACGGACTTGCTAGGGGACACGCCGAGCAAAGGACCACAGCTATGCCCGACATACCTCACTGGGGCGACATCCTCGACCTCTTGTTATCCAGCTCGACCCCAGCTCGAGCACTCCACCAACGGGAGACGCGATCCACTACACTCTCAAACGGGACTCCGAAAGGACCGCGTCCTTGTCCGCCCGCACTTCACGCAAGACATCCAGGAAGGGGACCACGCGCGGGTCCCTACTACGCACGTAGAACCTGGCAGTTCCTCCATTGGGCCAAACCTGCCCGACCCAGTGAAGGAACCTTGGCCCAGCGCTGGAGGCTATAAATACCCTCTGTTTCCAGAGGGTCAGGTATTCATTCTATCACATATACTCACACTTTGCCTGCTCGTACTCTTACTTACTTCAGCATCGGAGTGCCTTGCAGGTACCCCCCACCTCGTTCAAAACTTCAGCTCGGAGCCAGCCGTGACGGTTCAAGTCTGATCAGGTTAGATGAATGACAAGATAGATGAATGACATTTAATACATATAATGATCTAAAATAAAACTTGAAATTAAATTAAATGACTTCGTAATTAATTAAATTTAAAATAAATTTAAAAATAGACATGAAAAGACGTGTCTTCAAATAAAATACAAAAATCCATGTCATTTATCAATTTATTAAAATAAAATCACTTGAATGTGCATCACAAATTGAGATGTTAATGAAAAAAGTGTGACGTTGACTAGAGTATATAATGCATGTGTTACTAATAAATTAGTTAATAATAATTTTACGAATTAAAAATGATTTAAATGAGAGTAATGTGTGTCATTAATGATAACTTATATAATTACATTGTTGCGTGTTATTAATACAAACACTAGATAATATGTGGAAAAAATGTATTTAATTAACTATTAAATAAATTTAAAGTAAATATTGGTCTAAATAAAGTACACATATTTCTACGGATTCATAAGATATTTTTTTCTTCAAAATGGATATTGCTTAAATATTAATGTATTTTGTAAAATCTATTCACGGAATAAAATTAATTTTAGTAATTGATACTGATAGAGAGAATTAATAAGATTTTGTAAAATACTTACTTTATGAGATATAATATAGATTACTAATTGATATTTATGGAATTAAAAGAATAATGACAAATATATATATATATATATATATATATATATATATATATATATATATATATATATATATATATATATATATATATATATATATATATATATATATATATATATATATATATATATATATATTAATTCAAAATATTTTATTATCATTACATGAAAAAAAGGTAAAATTACTCTAAATTTTTTTGAATGACTTAATTGTAATAGATCAGTTTTTTATATTTTTTTATTACATGTGAGTCTTTTATATTAACTAACTTCTCTACTGTTAATTTTTTCTGTTTTATTTTATTCTATTTATTTTATTTTATTTTTAACTTTTAAAATTTATATTAAATTCATTTTTGGTCCAAAAATTATGAAATGTTTTTAAAAACTATTACTTCTCATTTTACACTTTGTATAATTTTATGAGAATTTTATTTTCTATTTTACTATTTTTCTTTAATTTTTTTTTGTTGTGTATTTTAATTAGTTTAAAAACATTTTTATGTATTAAATTTTTTAAAAAAATTATAGTATATTCAATAATGATTTCTAACCTATGTCAAGTGATATATAAGTACTATTAATGTTACTTCAATTTTTTTAGAAAAGAGTTTGAAGAAAAGGTCAACGGTGCAAATGTTAATTAACATAAAGGTAAAATTACTCTAAAATTCTTTAAGTTATTTAATTATAATAAATCAGTCTTTTATATTTATTTTGTTACATGTGGACCCTTTATGTTAACTAACCTCTCCATCTTTGACTTTTTTTCTGTTTTATTTTGTTCTATTAATTTTATTTTAATTCATTTTTAACTTCTAAAATTCATATTAAATTCGTTTTTGGTCCAAAAATTATGAAAAAATTTCTAAAAATATTTCTTCTTATTTTACACTTTATGTAATTTTAAGATAATTTTATTTTTTGTTGTTCTATTTTTCTTTAATTTCTTTTTTTGCGTGGATTTTAATTAGTTTAAAAATACTTTTATGTATTAAAAAATTATGAGAATTTTAGTATGTGATTCAATGATGGTCTCTGACCTATGTTAAGTGATATATCAATACTATTAATGTTACTTCAACTTTTTAAAAAAAAAGTGAGGAAAAGATCAACAGTGCAAATGTTAATTAACATAAAGGACTCACATATAACAAAAAAAAATATAAAAGACTGACTTGTTGCAATTAAATAATTTAAAGAATTTGGAGTAATTTTACAAAAAAATAATATTTATCAATCAGTAATAATATAATGAAATATGAGGCCAATACTTATCTTACTATTTAAAATATACTTTTTATTCTTTCTCAATTTATAAAAAAGTATTAAAATAATAGTATAGAAAAAAAATTTATTAATGATATTAGTTTTATATATTAGAAAAATTATATTAATGTTTCAAACATTTTTATAAACGATAACAAATTATATATATATATATATATATATATATATATATATATATATATATATATATATATATATATATATATATATATATATATATATATATATATATATATATATATATATATATATATATATATATATATATATATATATATATATATATATATATATATATATATATATATATATATATATATATATATATATATATATATATAATCAACCAGTTCTGATCCATATAGTAAATCGATTAATATGATTTTATGATTTAAAGAGACATTCACTGATCAAATTTTATTTTCACCAAAAATTGAATTCGAATAATACTCGAACCAAATAGAATCTTTATATAAAAAACAAATGTAATGAAATATTGACTTACAAGAATCATCAAAAGAATCTAAGACACCAAATATTTTAATTTTCATTATTATTAATTTTGTATTTTATCATTTTTTAGATTTTTTTATTTATTTTTAGTATAGTTTGGTTCGGGAGTCAGTTCTGACATCAAATGATTTCAGCCTCCTCACGATCGCAGTTGTGTGATATCGAACTGTGGTCCTCTCTATCAAGTCCAGCGCCAATCACCACTAGACTAATTAATGATTAGTTCATATTTTAGAATTTTATTTAGCTACTATTAATTTCCTTATGCATAATTAAATTGATTAAATATCAACTTGTCATACTCCAAAATTACTTCATTAATATTAATAGTCATTTTATTTAGTCGTAGTGTTATTATATTTCTAATCTATGATATATTATTTTAATTGTTTATTTTGAATTTTGCTTAGATATGATGGGGGTTTAAATTTTAAAACGGAGTGTGTTCATTAGTTCACTTTTAGAACAATTCATTAAGGTTCATGGAGTTTTGTTGGAGGTTGACCGAAGTCAACCTTTAATTATTGAGTTTTATTATTTTATTTAGTTATTATTATTATTTAATTATTAGTTTTAGTTTAAATATATTTTCTATTTTATTTTTCATTATTAGATTAATAGTCAGATCAAATTATTGTTATTGTTAGATTTATTTGCATAGGATAATATATTATCTACGTTTATACTAACATTACCAGTATTATTTTTATATATTTAGATTATTTTTAATGCTATTAGCATATTATGATTTCACTTTTATTGTCTTTCTTGTTCTTTCACAAATTTATATTTCATTCATCACTAATTAATTTATAAAATAGGAAAATATACAAAAATAAAGAAAAAAAAGCATCACGAGATTTTGACAAATTTGTCAAATTGGTTTCACATCTTTCGAGTCTCAAATTCCTGATACAAATATAAAATAAAAGCAAGAGATCTAGAGGTCCAAATTATATTAGATATAAACTAATTATATATTCAAATTTACAATCAATTAAAATATTACTCTTTCTATTTTAAAATGAGTGTCATTTAAAATTTTTACACACAGATTATAAAATATAATAATGTTGTTATAAAATATTACATTTTTGTTAAATTAATTTTATGGGAATAAATTGTAACTATATAACTTGTTGTAAAAGCTGAATAATATTAACAATATCTAGCTGGCAAAAGCTGGCTCTACAAGAACAAGAAGAATCAGCTTCTTGTACCCAAAAAAAAAATCAATTTGACTTCTTTTTCTCTAACCCTCTTACCCTTCTTCTTCACCGATTCTTCTCAACTTTGAAAATACTACAACAACATTGCCACATGAATAATTAGGGTTTCTACACACAAAGAAGTTTAATCGATTTCCGAAATGAGTGGTTCCAGATTCATCAAGTGTGTTACAGTTGGCGATGGAGCCGTTGGCAAGACTTGTTTGCTTATCTCCTATACCAGCAACACTTTCCCCACGGTTTGTGCTTCTGCTTTTTTCCTCTTCTCTAACAATATTGTGATCACAACTAGAAAGAAAGGTTCAATTTTTATGCGTCTTTCTAGTTCTATGTTCATGGCTTTTCATATTCTGAGTAAAATAACTAATGGGTTTGCTTTTTATTTGTTCCTAGAGTTTTCAACCTTTGATTCGGAGTTGCTGATGCTATGTTTTCTTCAAAATAGATGAAATTTGGGATCTTTGATTTTTTTTTTTTTTGGGTGGAAAGAGGAAAAGGGAAATTTTTTGATTGAATCTTTAATGTTGATTTTGATTCTCTGATGATGTATTTCTGTTGATTTTGATACTTTTTGTGTTTGTTTTTGGATTGATGCAATAATGTTGAAAAATATGATTGCCGTTTGACTTCTAAATTGACTAATAACAGGTGAGGGTGATTTTGGATGTACTTAATCTATAATTCTGACATTTTTTTTGTTTCTTTTTTATCCATGGAAACAGGACTATGTTCCCACTGTCTTTGACAATTTCAGTGCAAATGTAGTTGTGGATGGGAGCACTATAAATTTGGGGTTGTGGGATACTGCTGGTGCGTTTCTTATCATGATTATATTTATATATCTCATTCGTCGATTATTTTTTGAAGTGGATAGTGATTGTTATAAATTTTTCAACTTATGAAACAGGCCAAGAAGATTACAATAGATTAAGACCCTTAAGCTATCGTGGAGCTGATGTTTTCTTGCTTGCCTTTTCTCTCATAAGTAGAGCTAGCTATGAGAATATTGCCAAGAAAGTAAGCTTGATATTATTATTCGATTTTATTTCTATTTTGTCTCTTTCTACTATGGACTAATTTCCCCTTTCCATTTTTGTAGTGGATTCCTGAGTTGAGGCATTATGCTCCTGGTGTTCCAATTATTCTCGTTGGAACAAAACTTGGTTAGACTCGCACTTCTTCATTTCATTCTCTAAATATGTTTACACGTTTGAGGTGCTCCTTTTGTGGAAGAGATGCGTAACAACAGTTCCGTATCTGTGAAGCTTCAACTTAAACTAATAACTGGTCCAGAATATTTTAACGAATAATTTTGGGAAATATTATCTTCTTTAGTTTTCATCTAAGTCATACAACAGCCTTTGTATTTTTCATCTTTGTTTGATGTTTAACTTCCTGGAAAACTAAAAGGAAAGTATATTGTAGCTGCTTTTGTTGTTGCATGAGTGTCACTGATAAAAGTGAGTATAGCGTCTGTTTAAGAAGTTTAAAATGAGAGAAGAGTGCAAGCTATTAGTACATAGTCACCTCGGTAAAGTCAGTGCTTGATATAAAAGTCCTTGACTTCATTACTAGTCAAAATTTCTTTTGCTAATAGTCTGTAACAAATGAGCAGCTTCTGTTCTGAAAATTTTCTGTCGATAGTTTTCACAGTTGCTTTTGGAATGTGCTTCCTCCTACGTATAGGTTTAACTTAAATTGAATGTATGCATTTGATGGCTCCATTATAAAGTTGTCATGATTTGTTCGTTGGGTATTTAGTGGCAACTAAATCTATGTCTTGTAGATCTTCGAGATGATAACCAGTTCTTTCAAGACCATCCTGGTGCTGCACCAATCACCACAGCACAGGTAATTGCTATTTGCTAATACTTAGTGTATTTTTTCTTGTTATTGCTTTTGCTTTGTTTTCTATTTAATTGTTCTCTCTAATGAAGCACTGATACGTTTAAATCTCAGCTGAACTGTATCCGATATGCCAATACATTGCGATATGGCGCTGATACTAAACCCTAAAAAAATGAATAAATAATTCTGATATGGCGGCGATACGACTTTGATATGCTGCGGATACGACTCTTCATTTTTTATTAGACTTTTTTTTTCTTCTCCATTTTAATGATCATTCACTCACCTTTTATTGATCATTCTCTTTAATACCCCATTTTAATTATTTTCTTGATAGTTGTCATTTTTCAAGATTGGTTTTATTCCCCATAATTCTGTATCAATTACCCATATTTGAATTTTTTTTGGACTTATCCTTATTTGAAATTTAATTTATATTAAATTATTATTTTCTTTTTCGTATTATTAATATCATTTATAAAGGAAAATTTTGAAAAAGGAAGAAAGGAATGTTGCAGATATGGTATACCGAGTCTTAAATGTATCGTATCCTGTATTATTATTACATTAATAACGCATCGCTGAATCGGATATGTATCGTAGCCGATACTCATATCGTGTCTGTGCTTCATTGGTTTGGTCCTTTAGCCTTTGTTTGCTCATAACAGGGCATCAACTTACTTGATAGGTCATTGGTCTGATTTAATTTTCTATCTTTTCTGAAGGGCGAGGAACTCAGAAAACTTATTGGTGCTCCAGTTTACATAGAATGTAGTTCCAAAACACAAAAGGTACATACATGTTATTTGAATCTTTGAAAGTTCTGGAGTTAATTTTATATCACGACCTAATCAATATTAATCTCTGGATACAGAATGTGAAGGCTGTTTTTGATGCAGCCATCAAAGTAGTTCTACAGCCGCCAAAGCAAAAGAAACCTAAAAGAAAGGGGCATAAAGCCTGTTCTATTTTGTGATCTTCAATTCTTCATATTGTAGTTCACGGAGGATGACATGACAGTAGCCATTTCTGGTAGTGTTTGCCATTTCTGATTCTATATCTTACACTATTTTCAACCTAGATGGAGGAATTCGCCACGTTCAATTGACCACGATAAGGTTTTGCTTATAAAGCATCAAGCTATTTGTCTCTGGCTGAAGGATATAATATTAAAGTCATAATTTCATCATGTTTGGTGTGTACAAACTCTTGTGTTTCTCTGGGATGTTTACCTGCTGTATTGATTATTAAATATCCATCTCCATTTGTGGACATGGGTTTTACTCACATTGTAATCTAATCTAGGAAGTGTTTGCATATGTGGCTTTGGATGTGAACTAAGTATATGTAATTAATTATGTTAGCTGTTTAACAGCCTGAATATAGTTTGGTTTGTTGATTCATTCATTCTTCCATTTGTTTTCAAGTGACTTGAACTTCAAATTTCTAATCCAAAGTTCATTTGGCTTAGTTAACTTTACCATAAAACCTTATGACAACGGCACATGATTGCACCTTATTTTAAAATCTTTGTTCTGAAGAGTTAAAGAAAAAAAAAGCTTATTTTAAAATGTGAAGTGGGCTGTTAAGGGAACGATAAAGGAGAGAATAATAGGTGGATGTCCAGAGCCGTCCTTGGGAGTGTGCAAGATGAGTTCTGACACATGACTCCAAATTTTTAATGGTTAAATTGTTGCTAAATAGTCTCATTGAACAATGACTAACTGACAGGAACTTCAGCAACTTTATGCCTACACAAGATTACTCAGATACTGAACTTGCGGTCTGATAGAGTCTACTAGCTAATTGGGGATCTCATTTCTTCTTTTTGGGTGGTTTGGATTTCATTAGGCATCCAATAATTGAGTATCTTGTTTTGGCATCAATACAATTAACAAAGGAAAACCAAACTATAATTAATAATCATCAACTTTTGGTAGATTCAGCATTTAACTTAGATATATAATACCTATGGAATAATTTTGTGTGGATGGAGGACAGCCATGTTTGAATTCAGAACCTCAAAAATTCTTCAAACTTGTCACCACTAGTTCAATCCTAGTGGGTAGGCCAAGTAATTTGAAAATGATAGAAGAAAAGCAATGATATCTAAGTTGAAAGCGGCAAAAATACAAAGTAATATGGCATTGGCAAACATCCTTTATTCTTAAAATCTTATCTTCCTTTTCTTGAGAGGAATATATACTGTTCCCACTTCCATTGGTAACAAAAATCAACAAATGGAGCTCTAGCATTGATTCCTATCAATCTCTCTTCTACGGCACCGACTATATCGCTTCGTTAAATATACATGAAACCTCATTTGTTTCTTATTGTATGCTAGTAATCTCCAATCCATAATACTGAGTAGAGAACCAACCAGTTGAAGAATATGGCTTCCAAGAGAATAGTAAAAGAGCTCAAGGACTTGCAGAGAGATCCACCAACTTCATGCAGTGCAGGTAAATAGTTTGAACGAAACTGGAATTGTTTTATTTAACAATAACTGTATTGTCATGTGGTTGTTATGATGAGTATCAGGCCCTGTCGGCGAGGACATGTTTCATTGGCAAGCTACCATCATTGGTCCAAATGATAGTCCTTATGCTGGTGGTGTTTTCCTTGTTACCATTCATTTTCCTCCTGATTATCCCTTCAAACCTCCCAAGGTATACTCTGACACATGTTTTCTTTAATAGGAATCATGGCTCGGCCATAACCGCAATATGAAATCTTGATGGTCAATCTAATTGATGGATTTTATAAAAAATGATTTTGCAGGTTGCATTCAGGACAAAGGTATTTCATCCAAACATTAACAGCAACGGAAATATTTGCCTCGACATACTCAAAGAACAATGGAGTCCTGCTCTCACAATATCCAAGGTCTTGTTATTGCGAACCATCTTCATTCATTTCATTAGTTTCTTTCTTTCTGTTTTATAAAAAGAATGTCGACTGATTGTTAAAAAACTTGATCATACAGGTGCTGCTCTCTATATGTTCTTTGCTAACAGATCCGAATCCCGATGACCCTCTTGTGCCTGAAGTCGCTCATATGTGCAAAACCGACAGAGTCAAGTATGAGTCCACTGCTAGAAGCTGGACTCAGAAGTTTGCCATGGGATAAGACGTGGCCTTGAAATTCCGGCTTTAGCGAACAACATGCATACATATAAGAATTTTTCTCTGTCTGTAATTGGAGCATGCTCTCTATGAATAAATGCTCTCTCTTTTGGTGTTTTTCTTTTATTCAGCCTATTAAAATTGTACCAAAAAGCCAAAATCATTGTGCACTTATTCCGGATAACAAACTAGGTTCTTTTTTGGATGTCCACCCTTACACTCATGTCTTTAATTCAATTTGTTTGTAAAAATACATAATCAGTTCAATATCATGTTATTGGTGATCTAAACTCTACATATCAAGCTTGTTAGGACAAGATTCTGCGCCATTTACTTTCAACTCTGTTGAACTTATGGATAAATAATACAATTATATAATCTAAGGCCAAAAAGCATAGGAAGGGAAAATAAACCAGAAGAACATAGCTTTGAGGTCTGACTTGTAGCCCAAGAAAGCTGATCTTAGCTCTAGCTTCTAGTTTAGTTATGTGAGACTGCAAAGTTGAAGCATATACGGACAGCCACAAACTTTGAATGAGTTGGGATCAAGTTCTCTGTCATATAGCATATGATATGTGATTTGTTTTGAAGTGTGGTAACTCTAGTTATGAGGAAAATAACATGATTGAGTGTGTATGACCAATATTGTCTGAGAAGTTTGAATTGGTAAAGTAGAGATCTTCTAACATTTAGAATATGTTGATGTTTTTTCTCCATCCTATGATATTTTTTTTTTGTGATGTTTTAACACATGATTTTTGATGTAAGTTGCCTTTAGATGAATAAAATTCTAGTCATGAAAACTCAAGGCCATTGTCGGTTCTTACAGTCTTAGGAATAGTATTATGTTGGTTTTCGATCAAGTGAATGAAGGTATGAACTTGTTTTGAAACCTCAGATTTGGTATTGAGTAAGATGATCCATGTGAATCAACTAAAGTCATCTAATATGGTCAAGAAATATTTATGGCCTTGGAAAGAAGGAATTGATATGTCCCCCATATGTCAAAGTGTTATAAATCAAATTTTACATTGGTATGAAAAGATCTAATACTTTTTTAGGAAAATGATAAATATCACACACAACTTTATTGTTATTAGAAATCGAGGGATACATTTTAGATATGTGAGACATTTTATTACTAGAGAGATGTCTTAATCTAAAATTCCAAATTAAGGATAAAAGGATAGGAGAATTTCTTTGTACATCTTTAAGGAAGGAGAAAAACATCTGAAAATCGAAAATATTTTTTGGAGATGTATCTCCAAACACTCCAAATCAAGGAGTTTTGGAGGTGTATCTCCGAATGCATCCAAAATAAATTTTGGGAAGAACTCGGAAATACATTTTCAAAAATACTATGTTTCATGCCAAACGTTAAGTTTAAACATTCACGCATATTTTCGAATATGTATTTCCGAAATTATGCAACTTATACCACATCGCTGCATGGACTATTTCATTTTCTTCAACTTATTCCATAATCAAAACTCTCTAAAAAACTCAATCCATTGTCAATCAATTTTTCGTCTCCAAACTAAGTTTCAAGTGTTTTATCATGTCAAAGAGAACATAGAAAGTTGTAATTTAAGGTAAATTTTCCTCATTTCATCTCTCAATTGTTTGCATTGATGCTGATTTTTGAGATGAAAAACTGCGTCACTTCAGAAATGTATTTCCGAAACCCATCTAATCTATTTCAAAAATATATTTCCGAAGCTTCCTCTTACAGAAACAAAATTATCAACAACTTTTCTATTTTTGCCCGTTTTAGATATGGTGCACCCCGACATGTTTCCCAAGGATGTTTCGGACAACATGAATAATGATGTTAAGTTGGATGAGGTGAAGAACGATGTTAAATCGATTGTTGTCGATATAGATGCTGGAGACTAATTTGCAAATAATCATGTTTTCAATAATCAACAATATTTACTTGATTGAGTCCGAATTAAAGCTAGCAAACTCAGCTTTGGTGTTGTGATTGTTAGGTCCGACAATGACACTAGTAGAAGGCAGGCATTTGTAACCATGAGATGCGAGAGAAGTGGAAAATATGTTCCAAAAGTTCGGAAGTTAAAACATGATGACACCGAATTGAGAAAAATGTGAGTGTCCGTTCCGTTCATATTGTGTGGATCATGTATGGTGGATGACACGTGGCAGTTTTATGCCATTTCTAATAAACATAACCATGCATTGGACAACAAGCTACAAGGTCATCCAAATGTAGGTCAACTTAAGCCGGAGGAGAATAAAATTATTTTGGAAATGTCGATAAACAAAGTTGCGTCGAGAAACATACTTGTAGATTTGAAATGGAAACGACCACAAAATGTTTCAAATATCAAGCAAGTATACAATGAACATTATAAACAAATTATTGCGAGTAGAGGTCCGAGGTCTGAAATGCAGCAGTTGTTGAAACTTTTGGACGATAACCACTTTATTTTAAGGTACAGATTATGTGATGATAAAGTTAGTGTCCGTGAAATTTTTTGGACTCATCCGAAAAGTATCAAGTTGTTTAACACATTTCTGACCGTCCTTATAATTGATTCAACGTACAAGACCAACAAGTATAGACTTTCTCTTCTAGAAATTGTTGGTGTCACTTCTATAGATAAAACTTTTTCGGTTGAATTTGCATTCCTCGAATGTGAGAAAGAAGACAACGTTACATGAACATTGGATATATGCAAGACTTTGTTGAAAGATCCACAAAAGTTGTCTAGTGTTATCGTAACCGACCGAGATAGCGCTCTTATGAATGTGGTTGAAAATGTGTTTCCTACATCATATACATTACTTTGTCGGTATCATATAACAAAAAATGTGAGAACTAAGATTAAATCGGTGGTTGACACCAAAGACTTCAAGGGTGAAGACGGAAATATTGTCAAAGCTGGTGTTGTGCTGGAGAATATAATGGATGCATGGACAAATATATTAAATTCTTCTACAAAAGAGTTTTATGCTGAGAATGTGGTATATTTCAGGAGCTTGTGTGTCAAGTTTCTAACATCTATATAATATCTATGTAATATCAATATTTTAACATCTATGTTATATCTATGTTTCAAGGTCAATATATCAATGTTTATGTTCTGCAGAAATCATTAAAAGTTTATTTCGAAAATGTACATCCGAAATAAAGCATTAGGCATCTTTGGAAATACATCTTCGAATTCACCCAAAAAAATAATATTTCATAACTTCGATAATACATCTTCGAAATCACCCAAGAAAAATAAACTCTGGTGTATTTGGAGATACATCTCTGATTTATGGGGATAAAAATAAAATTTCGTCAAAGATGGTTAAAAATGTGTAAGGGTGAAAAAAGAAATTCCCAAAGATAGTTTGATTATGCAGAAAACTATTTATAATATTGACAAAAGCTTTTCATCAAGTTGTGTTTCTTTCTAATTATAAAAAAATATTTCTTAGAATCATATTATTTAGATTATTATTTCTTGAAATAATATTTTCACCGATGTGTTTGAATAAAAAATAAAATTCATGGAAATTATTATATATTTATTTAATTTAAAAATTATAAAAAATAAAAATAATATTAATATGTGAGTAATATTGAGAAGTTATAGATAGTTGAGTTTATTCCTATATGAATGTTGGATTCTCACCTTTAAACATGAAAATAAGTATGAAAAAAATTATGTGCAAAAAATATTTTTAGAAATAAAAAATACACAGAAATAATTTTTAAAAATGAAACAAGCACATCCTTATATATCCATTTAAGTGATTAGCCAAGGACCTATTTTTTTTTTTACTTTAAAGAAATGGATATTTTTCTTTGATTTTCAAAAATGAATTTTATAAAATCGTTTTTCAAAATATTATAAATTTTTTATATATTTTTTTTTAAGTTGAAAGACTAATTTCAACGTCGTATAACATAGACATATATTATTGAAGATCGAAATATTGTCGAAATTGCAATTTTTTATTTATGAACTTGTATTTCAAAAATGATTTTTATGAAAAACTATTCGAAATAGTTTCAAAATTAAGTGATATTAAATTTTTGATAACTAAATTTTTTTAATAAAATAATGAAATATTTAAAATAATATTTTAAGTAACTATTTAAATTAAACTTTTATTTGAAACTTTTATAAAAAAAAATTTATAAATTTTTTTATATAAAATTATATTATATTATAAAAATCATTTAAAAAAAAATTCAAAACAAACTGCCCCAAATGAATCCTCTCAAAGACTTATATGTGACCTGATGAAGAATAGTTAAAGACGATGGACACAATTTTGACACAAATTAAATTCAACTTAAAATACATTGATAATATAAATATATGGAGAGAATTGAACATTACGAACATAAGTAACTTGAACTAAGTTACCATTTGGTAGGTGAGCCTTAACATGTCTACAGCGATAAAAGAACTAAAAAATGCATGTCTGATCATACACTGGCTATAGAATCAATGAGCCAAAAATTAAAATTGTTACTTACAATTTTTGAAATTTGGATTAATATTAACTTATTTTTATAAAACTGATTTGTAAGTGAAAAATATTTTAAACTCCCATTAAGACTACTTTATATCAAATGTACGACATGTAACACATACTTCCTCATACTTAGAATTTGACATCTATAGTGTCACTTAAATGATTGATAACAAAAATATAGTAGTATGTGATTCAATATATCATTAATAAACTCAAATATAATAATAGAATTTGAGTTAGATCTGACTCAATTTAACAAAACTAATTATAAATCGAATTTGCATATTTGCATATAATTCATGTTCAATCTATATCTTATCCAATATAAAACTTCTAATAAGGAATCTAATTGAAAGATAAGAATACAACTGCAACACTCATGAGATTTTATTCGATATTCAATATTACACAATGTGGTCTTAGTAAAGATAGAAGGACGGTCAGTTAAGTAATGTCACATATAAAATATAAAAAAAGTATGAAAAAGAACTATTTGTATTAGTAAATTGAATTCCATGAATTTTCTAAAAAATGAAAATGGATCAAATGAAACGTAATTTTAAAATAAAAAATTCTGTGTCAATGATATCTAATGATGTAAATGGATTTTCATAAAGGCAAATTGTATGATGTTTATATTTGTTCCGTTGAATAAATATGATATTTACATATTTTTCATATTTATGTGAATATTTGCTAAATAAATTATCTACAGATTTTAAAATGTTCTTATATATTTACAGATATTTATAAATATATATTTTTCTAATTTTTATTTAAAAAAAATATTTTTAACTTTTTTTAATGACACGAGAAATTATTATCACGTAAAGTCCATATAAATCCTCTTATTTTAAGAATAAAATTTTATTACATATTTATATATTTTAATTTTAACAAAAAATAAAATATATTTTAATTGTGAATTATGATAAAAGAGCAGACAATAGAAAAATAAAAAGAAAGACACTCGTTAGACATAAAAAATGGTTGGTTAGACGGTGATAAATAATCAATATAATTTGTATGAAATATAAAAGATTTTCTTCAAAGAAAACTTTAAAAAAAATATTTGAAAAGACTAGTTTTTAAAAGATAAAAAATACTATATAATAAATTAATATTTAATTAATTTTTATAATTTATTAATAGATATAAATATCCGCAGATATGAGTATCATTAAATCCATATTTATATTCATTATTAAATAAATATTTAAATATTTGTTTATTTTAATCATAAATATCTATTAAATTAATTGTTCTGTACTCGTAATAAATTTTATCCGTAAATATTCGCTGATATATATATATATATATATATATATATATATATATATATATATATATATATATATATATATATATATATATATATATATATATATATATATATATATATATATATTTCCATCCCGAGTGTGCATGTTTTAAAAATAATAGAGCCAAGACCATTAATATTCTTCATTTAAATGGTTCTTATACTTGGATCCAAAGACGTAGTTGAGTAATCCATATCATCTTTTCTCATGTAATGGACCTGCTGGGGTACCCTTACGATTGTGAGGCTTGAACTGCTTCTATATTTAGTACTTTAAGAAAACAAATTTTCTTTTTCATAAATAGTATGCTTACATATAAAACTGAAAACTTTGAAAGAATAATTCTATTAAAAGTTAATATATTTCTCATGGTTATTTAAAAAGCTGATTTTGAGAAACGCTAAAAGAATTATATTATGAAAGTATTTTTCTTTCAAAACTAATTTTATTAGGAATTTTAAAATCATGAAGGTTTTGTTTAGGAATTTAGAAGAAAAGGAGAGGGAGGATTTCATCGTTAAGTGGATGGATGTATGTTGTGTCTTTTTCAGAGAAAACAAGTTCAGTTTCTAAGACTTATAGTTTGTCTAAATCAGAGTTAGTGGGTGAATTTTCAATGGTTAGGATTTAGCGAATGTACCTTTTTCAAATGAAATTGGACACTTCGTCCTCGATAAATCCTCTTGCAGTGATATTGAGTGTCTGGTGAACATTTATGTCATCGTCTCCCTTATTTGGCTCATTTCCTTTATTGGATCCAGAACTTTCTGGGGCGTCTCACCCTTGAGAATATATTTCTTTAAGTGTCCCTTATGTATCAGTGTTTTATCTCCTTCTTGAGTTAAAAAAATCTTTAGTATATTGCTCTTTAACTTTGTGGAACTTACACCATCTATTAGACTCGAGTTTCATGACGTCTACCTTTAGAGCCGATGGTTGAGGGATGTTGTGCATGTGGATGACTTCTCCCCATATCTACTCTCGACGAGTGTTCAGATGCGTGGAGCTCTCAACGGGTTTTCCACTTCGCATGAATTACGTCTTGTCTTTGACAGACAATGTATATTGACCTCTTTGAGAGTTGTTGGCATGAGAGGCATCCTTTTTTGCATCTCGGACCCTCTTTTGAGCATTGTTCTCTTCATCCTTGTTGTAACGTTTCTCCCGGGACACTACACTTCAGTCAGGAATACCGTTGATCTATGAGAGAGAGACTCGTTGAAGTGTTCCACCCCGAGTCCATTCCAGAACGCTCCTATAAACATTTTTTTATTTGGATTAGTCTCTTGTTCAAAATGTTTAATATTATAATAATAAATATTTGATTAGTGGATTTGTGGGTTTTTTAGGTTTTAGTCCAGCTTTATCCAAAACCCGATTTTTTAATGGGTTTTTAGTTTTTAAACTCATATCCATCCAATTTCCCAACCCAACCTAACCCGTTATTTGGATTTTTTTTTGTGAATTTGACTGAGTTATGTGGGTTGACTCAACCCATGTACACCCATACATCTACATGACCACTAGTTTGTGGGTGATATGAAGTTGCAACTCCGTGCCTAACTCTGAACTTCTTTAATATTATTTAAAATTCTTTGTGATGAAATGAGATCCTCCATTAGTAATTACAAGTCTTGGTAATACCAAATCATGGGAAGATAATTTTCTTGAAGATCTTAATCACCACTCGTGTGCCATTTGTAGGAGAAGCAATTGCTTCGATCCATTTAGACACATAATCCACTGACTCGAGTATGTATTGGTTTCTCAATGATGATTTGTGATGTTTCAATGAATATGATGTATACTATGATGTTGAGATGAATATGTTGTTTAATATGATGACTTGTGCGGTGTATGATGGAATAAAGGTTAGTGATGGGATAATAAGAGATGTTTAAAATTTAAGTAATTAGTTGAAATTATTTAGATTTGTTAATAATTATTTAGGATTATTTGGATTAAATAAATAGAATAGTGGTGTAGATAAAATAATGGCAAGATAGTCATTTGGGAAGAGTTAAGTGAGGACATGATGAGAAGTTCATTATTAGGTGTCCAAGGGTTAAGTGAGATAAAAGGGAATTAGAATTTTAGAAACGCTCATTTTGTGCGACCGTAAGAATTGGAAGAACGCTTTGGAGAAAGAAAACTAGGGCACAGAGAGACAAAAAGAAATTGTAGAATGCAAAGAGGAATCAGAAGCTAGCAATAATCTTAAGATAAATGGTGTTTATCTTGATTATTATAATTTATCTAAGGTCTAGATAATTGTAGGTTGTGTTGAGTTTTGGTGATCTGATGGTTGTGATGCAATTGATGGATTTGTGTTGAAATTGTTGAAAATATCTTGTTGAATTGCCATGAGTTTCTGTATATAATACCTATAATATTGCATGGTTGTTATATGATGGTTTTGTGTTGAGAACTGTTGCATAATATTATTACAAATATCCTTGTATCATATATATTATTTCCTTATTTAGTTATTTCTAGTTAGGTAATCCTTTTATTGTTATTATCCTGTAATTAATGTAGGATCTCTGTAATTATTTTTGGACTTTATCTCTACCTCTATTTAAGAGATAGATCATTGTACAAACCAATATAATTGAGAATTATTATTCTCTCATTTGTTTCAACTTGGCATCAGAGCAGATCTCTGTAGCTTGCGCCTCTAATTCACAATGGCTGACAGTTCCTCAATCAACAATGAAGTAGAGAATAATATTCCCGAAAACACTCTGCCTCCAAAGCAAGAGCAAAAAGGTGTTATGGTGATTCTCATTCAATCCAAATCACCTCTTTTTGACTCAATGGGTCGAACTACTTTTGGTTGTCTCAATCTGTCCAGATGTATATCTGAGGCAGAGGTAAAATAGGATACATCACGGGTGATCAAACTGAGCCAGATTTGAGTGACCCATAACATGATACGTGGGATGCTAAAAATTCCATGGTGATGACATGGTTAGTAAACTCCATGGAAGAAGAAATCAATAGTAACTATATGTGTTACTCTACAACAAAAGAATCGTGGGAAAGTTTGGAAGAAATGTATTTCGATTTGGGAAATAAATCTCAGATTTGGGAAATAAATCTCAGATTTATGAACTCACCTTAAAGGTTAGATAAATTTAGCAAGGAACTGATAATGTCACAAAATACTTCCATTCCTTGAAGCGGGTTTGGAATGACCTTGATCTATTTAGTACTTACAAATGGAAGTCAACCGAGGATGTCAAACACCATCAACAAACAATAGAAGAAGGAAGAATTTTTCAGTTTCTTGCTAGCCTTAATGAGTATCTGGATGAAGTCCGTAGAAGAATTATTGGAAGAGCAACCCTACCTTCACTAGGCGAAATTTTTGCTGAGGTTAGAAGGGAGGAAACCCGCAGGAGCGTGATGATAGGAAAGGAAAAAGTTGATCCAAATCCTCCTAAGGCCAATGCTTTGATTGTGGATGTTGTCGCCTTTAAGAGTTCAAATCAGAGGAAATCATCTAACCTCTAGTGTGACTACTACAACAAACCACGTTACACTCAGGATATTTGCTGGAAGCTCCATAGGAAACCAACACATATGAAAAACGGAAAACCAGGTACTAGAGCACCCATATCTGTCCCTACAAAAAATGAGGTGGAAAAAACCACGCTAAACAAGGATCAAGTTGAGGAGCTTATAAGGTTGTTAAAATCTAGTTCTTTATCTGGTACTCCTATTGTTTCTTTGGCACAAACAGGTAATTTTAGCATCCCTACCTCTCTAAATTATACCTCAAACATGTGTGCACCATGGATCATAGATTCATGTGCTTCTGACCATATGACTAACTTGTTTTTCTTATTTAAAACTTATTCACCTTGTCCTGGAAATAAAAAGGTTAGAATTGTAGATGGAAGTTTTTCATCAATTGTAGGAGAGGGAAAATTACCATATCTAAACACATTGACTTAAAAAATGTGCTACATGTACCAAAACTTTCATGTTATCTCTTCTTTGTTAGTAAAATATGCAAAGACTCCAATTGCAATGTGAAGTTCTTTAACACCCATTGTATTTTTCAAGACCGGCTTTGGGGAAGATGATTGGAAGTGCTAAAATGATGGATGGACTCTATTACTTTGAGGATGTTTTTGAAAATAAAGTTGCTCATGGCCTTAGTGGTATTAGTTCTACCTTAGTGAATGATAAAAAAGTACTCTGGCATAATAGACTAGGGCACCCTAATTTTCAATATCTTAGGCATTTGTTTCCAGACTTGTTCAAAAAATTTGATTGTTCTTCTTTTGAATGTGAAAGTTGTGTTCTTGCAAAAAGTCATAAAAATCCTTATTCTTATCGACCTTACCATGCATATAAACCTTTTTATTTAATCCATAGTGATGTATGGGGTCCACCTAAAATTACAACTCAATTTGGAAAATGGTGGTTTGTCACTTTTATTGATGATCACACGCAGTTACGTTGGTTCTATCTTATGAGGGATAAATCTGAAGCACCAAATATATTCCAATGTTTTTCAAAAATGATAGAAACCCAATTTGACACAAAATATCCATTTTGAGGAGTGACAATGGTACTGAATATTTCAATAAAAACCTCAAATAATTTCTCCAACATAAAGGTATTCAACAACAACCAACATGCCCAAATACGCCTCAACAGAATGGCACAACTGAAAGAAAGAATAGACACCACTTTGAGGTAGCTCGTGCCATTATGTTTAAGAGGAATGTTCGTAAGTTTTTATGGGGGGATGTTGTTCTAACAACATCATATCTCATAAACAGGATGCCTACTCGTGTGTTAAATTATTTAACACCATTGGATGTTTTCAAAAACCTTTTCCCAACATGTAAATTACATACTGATTTACCATTAAAAGTATTTGGTTGTACTGTTTTTATGCATACCCCTAACTCTCGGTCTAAATTAGATCTAAGAGCAGAAAAATATTTTTTTATTGGATATTCTCCAAACCAAAAGGGGTATCTATGTTAAAATCCTACTACAAAGAAACTTCATGTTAGTATGGATGTTACATTCTTAGAACTACAACCTTCCTATAAGAAAAATTCCCTGCATGAGGAGAGTGTGAGTGAAGACAATTTCTTAAATGAACCTTTACCAACTCCTATTATATCAACTAAGAACATAGACTTAAGTGATCACACAACTAAAATTATAGAATAACATGTGGAAACAAGTCCTAAAATTTATAAGGGGAACCTTGTCCCAGACTTAGTGGTGCCTAAACAAAGGAAGAAATACCAAAATCATGCATAGTATTTTCTGAATATGTCCTCATTCATCAGGCGCAGAGGATTGTCACTGTCTATAGTAGCAAGTGTTGTCATACTTTCATAAGATGTTTATGTGATCGCATGTGCCCTTTCATATGTGGGAGCCTGTGTGGGGCTGCTTCAGAATGAATCTGGTGCACCTGATGTTTGATCAAGTTTATGATAGTCTTGAATTTCCTAGGTATCTTTTCTAAGAACTATCATGGAAGGATTTGAAGACATGATATTGACACCATCTGATAGTACTGGCACAAACAAGCAATTTGGTGGTACCAAAGGTTCAAATTTCAGTGATTTTTGCTGGAATCCCCTATCAACGTAACAGGCCCCGAGTGATTCAGATGGAGACATGCCCCTGGCTATTCAGCACTTTTGGAGAGATTCTTTGCATATTGGCTTGACTTCCCTAGATTAATTAGACACCATGTCATGTCCCTTGATTATGAAAGGCCTATCACTGGAATGTCTTTCCATCTGAGGTGATTCTGTCCACTGAGGGGATTTCTGTTCATCGAACCTCTGTCGTGCGAATTTCTCTGTTGTTAAACAAATAATCATATGCAAACAATGGTATTTTAAGAATGCAAAGCTTATGTCTATCTTGAAGTTTGAAAATTTATTTTTTAGTAAAACAAACAAATTTTGTAAAAGTGTGATATCAACGCAAGATTTATAGCTAACCTTACAGGAGTCAGGATACCTTTGTAATAATATGCTTTCGAACTAACCCATGCTTCAGCTAGGACTTTTAAGGGTTGTAACGTGGCCTGGTTCATAGTTTAAGAAACAAAGTATAAAGGCTCAAATTTTATTTGTACCCAACCCGCTCTTCATGATGTTCTTCAGTCCTATGCTCAGTTAATTGTGCGTTAAAATCCCGATTGAGTCTGGCATCTTGTCCTTGATGTTCCGGTGATGGTTCGGATACTGAAAGTTTATTTTGAAGAGGCATTCATTTTGGTAATCTTCTTTTTGTCGAGGATTTGTAGTAACCTCTTTTTTTTTCGTTATACCTACTTTTGCCTGAATTGGTTCTTTTATGGTTACAGTCAGCGGGATGCCCCAGTTTTTTCTTAAGTCTCCTTCATAGGTTTTGACTTAGCGGGCTTTTATTTTGAGAGATAATGACTGTCGACTTTAATGATTATGCAGAACCATCACCATCTTCTGATTTGGAAGGACGTCCTTGATGCCATTCGTTATGTATGAAGTGGACTATTGCGACTGAATGCGCATCTAAATTAACTGAGAAAACTACACTGCCCTGAGTTATGATTAAGGGTTTTAATTTGTATGAAAAGAAAACTCCTACTTCTTAGTCTCAAAGGGGTCGACTAGGGATTATCTTCCTTATAACTCCACTGTTTAGGATTTGAAACAACGCATGTACATCGTCAGTGAGGTCTGTCCAAAAGCATATTGTAGAGATTGTGGTATCATTTTCGTCATCCTCCCTCTAACGTCTTAGAGCTTTTTAATCAGGAGTTGACTATCACAAAAAGGAAGTAAAAATGCAGTTTGAATATAGTGAATACGAATGAATTGATTCAAGACAAACATATGCAATGCAATGATAAAATAGCAAAGTTTGACATAAATAAGTGTTCGAACAAATCAAAAGACAATTACAACTTGAAAATTCTAATGAACGAAAAGCCTTATTGTCAGAACTTGTCACTTCAGATGGCGTGCCTTGGAGGGATGACAGAAAAATTCCAGTTGACCATCTTGTGCAAATTCCAATGCTTCTTCATCAATCAGGTCTTGAATTTTGTATTTCAACGTCCAACAACTATCAATGTCATGCCCCGGACTGTTGGAGTGATATGCACATATTGCACCAGGATTGTAAGTAGGAGCAGAAGTATTAGGATTCCGAGGAGGATCCTTCAATGTGACCAAATTCAACTTCAACATGTGTTGCAAGACTTGCGACATTGGTATGTTGAGTTTGGTATATTGCCTAGTAAATTAATCTCGCTTACACCGATTACCCTGTCGTTGTTGGTGAGGTTATGATTGGGCTCGTGATGTAGCAGCAATTTGGAAAGGTCCATTATCCACCAAGCTAAATTCTTGTCTCATCAGGGGTTTATTAATGACTTGATCCCCAGCCTCGACCGTTTGTTTCACACGGATGCATCCGTCTTGAGGAAGTTTGCTGATAAGGAGTCTTAACTCTTCTTGCCCCCGAGCCAAGCTTTGGATGAGATCCATTTGACTGATCATATGGATTCTCATCCTTTCCATCTAAGCTTGCAGTTGTTCAACCTATCCTTGTTGTTGTCAGGATGTTTCTTGGTCAGATTCCCAACGAGGAGTGCTTTCAATTCTTCCCGCCCCTTGGATAGGTTTAGGAGCATTTCCATGAACTGAGCCTCTTGATTTTGGAGATCTCTGTTGTCTTGTTTGAGAGTCATTTTCTTTGCTGAAATAAACAGGGAGAAAATGAGAGGCCTGTACTGGAAGAAATGTTATGATATAACATGCATGCAATGTTTTTAAGGATCTCGTAGGGTAAATAAGAAAATGTCGGAAGTTGAATTTTGCAGCTTTGATTGAAGAACTTTGTGTCGTTGAAAGTCCTTCTATGAGAATCATGCTCACCATGTCGAGTGGATCATAGCCTCTAACTCAAGTTATTGTTTTATGGTCCTTTTGACGGCATTGGCTAGAGGAAAATAAATCCCCTTTCCCCTTGCTAGACGTCTGGTTCATCATAACCTGCATCACAGACCCTTGAGATCCTTGAAATGGTTAAGGAGATGCTATAGGATGATGTTATGATGTGTATGCTATGCATTAAGAAAAAGTGTAAGGTGGCATAAGCAAGTAAACCCTGCAAGGAATCCAGGTTATTGGATAATGACTCTAAATAAATCCTGCAAGGAAATCATGTTGTCAGATACTAAAACCCTGCAAGTAGTTCAAGTTGAAAGCAAAAAAGTAACACAAGCAGCCTTAGGTTTATGCTTCCATAGGGTTTGTAGGTAAGTACCCTCTTGAAGTTTAGTTGGCTCAACCTGCCCTAGTAATAGTAACCGAGTTCTAAGGGATCTCAATATCACTGATCTTTCCCACAAGTTTCATTCCGATCGACAACTGACTTGCCACCAAACAAAAATCGGGAGTCAAATATCAATGAGTGTAGTATCGAGTATCAACCGACCTTGGGCTACACCAAAGACGGCTATCTCACTACTTCCT